AAATTGTTGAAACCACAAAAAACAACAAAAATTTTATCTCCGTTTTTTAGAACGAAAATTTTATCTCTTTAATTTGTGTTTTTTTAAGACACTGGCACTTTTCACTTTATTTTAGTTTTGAACACTTCACTTAAGCACTGAAAAACACAAATGATAAAAATAGCTTTTTTTGTTTTTTTGGCTACAGCCATTTTTTATTGAAGAACAATCTTAAGACTAAACAGAATGGCTTACTGCTAAATTGCTTACATAACTAAACGTACATCAAGTTATTTTTTACAAAAACAATTAATTAATTACAGGCCAAAAAATTCAACATAAAAAGGATTAATCACTTACAAAAAATCTTAAAGTTATATCTTAAATCTAAGAACTTATACTAAAGGAAGGGAACTTAAGACTACTATTTACATATGTACAAATATCTACTGCGCCGTGTTATAAATGGTGTCAGTTATGTTTAATGTATTAAACCGTCTATGATAAAACATTAACTTATTTTCATTATTGTAAAGGAGGTTCTGCTCATTAAGTTTTAGCAGAGCTACTGGTGGGAGGTGTTTGCACACAGCTAATGTATCTGCATCAATATGAAATTCCAGGGATCCTTTTAGAAGTTCGTTGTCAACAATCTGTGCCGTCTCAAGAATCAATTCTTTCCAGTTCAGCCGCGTGGTAAATTACCCTACATGACGGTCTTCGAAAAGATCCATTAGGTCTTATGATGCTACCCATTCCTAGACAGTAAGTCAGGACAGACCTTTCCCATCGCCTAAGCCTCTCCATCTGACTTGAAGATATTACAAACCAAATGGGAAATGCGTAGGAGATGATTGACCTTATTACCTTATTATTGGGGAGTAGTTTTATTTTCTTACTTAGACCACCGTTGTGTATCAAAACACCTTGGTAAGCAAAGTACACCTTTTTGGCCCTTTTCAAGATAAAATCTACGTGTCTAACAAACTGCATACGTTCACAGAAAATGACTCCAAGGTACCGTATTTTGTCTGCTAATTTTATAGTTTCTCCTCCTATTTTAAGAACAGGGTGATAGGATCTAAAGTTAGGATATACTACCTTAGATTTTCTCCTGGAAACAATAGCTGTGCATTTGTTCAAAATCTAATGTTACCGCAATTGTACCGCATTTCTGTTGAATCCCTTTACCACAAAAGATGCAAAGAGAGAAAGGGCGTGGGAAGTGGAGTGTGCCGCTCTAAAAGCAAATTGGCAATATTTGAGGATTTTTTCATCTTCGACTATGATTTTTAAGTGTTTTAGTATGAAGAACTCGAATAACCTGCCAAATGCGGATAGCATAGATATGGGCCTATAACTTCCAAACTGATCAGGTATTGCACCTCTTTTTAAGACAGGTATTACCATGGCCTTTTTCTAGGCCGCAGGGAAATAACCTAGGTTTAGGCAGTGGTTAAATAGAATTGCCAGAAATCCAAAAATTACAGCAAAAATTAAAGCAATGTCTGGAATTTTGTCCAATCCACTAGATTTTTTTGTGGATCTACTGGCAATAGGGCTTTCAATACCACCAGGACGGATGAATCCGGCCTCCTCCCATCTAGCCATTCTGTCAGATGCTGAACCGTCCGCAGGGAAAGTTGGACTAAAGCTCTCCAAGGAAGACCGGTCGTTCATCCCCTTGATAGCTCGATTAACTAAGCTTACGAAGGACTGATCGAAAGGCCTATCAATAGGGCGCAACACGTCCTGCATATGTCCAGCGAAAGTTTCAGCCTTTAACATATCATCATAAATAGGATCACCATTTAGGTCCTTCGGCTCATTTACCGTATCCTTAGATTTTAAGCCGGCCGCCGCCTTCACCTGGGAAGAGGTTCGGTTGTCAACTCTGATATCTTCCAAAAAGAATTGATATCTTTCGTACTCAAATATGCGAATTGAGTCTTCAATAATTCGATCTACATTATTTATGTCCGATCTTAGAGAAGAAAAGCGGAATGGATCATTTGATCTTCTGAGTGTTCTGCAAATTCTTTTACGTTCTCGAATGCAGCGCATTATTCTCGGTGGGAGGTTACCAAGAGCCAAAGATCTGACTTTTAATTTTGGGACCGACTCATCAATAGCAACATCAACAGTTTCAAGATTTTCAACAGCAGTATCTAATTTCTGGATTGAGAAATTTCTATCTACAGGAAGAGAGATATTCGAAAGTCTCTCTCTTATTTTTCCCTTAAAACTGTTGGTATTCATCCTATCAAAGTTGAGAAATGTCGTAACTTCTCTTGATGCCAGCTCTTCTAAAATGAGGACTACCCCAACTGATCTGTGATCAGATTCGTAATCGTAAGCTTTAGACAATCTGTAGCCGTTCTCCAGAGGTAGACCAGGAGTTCACAAAAAGATATCAATGAAAAAGCCAGACGCACCGATCGGCCTAGTGGGAATGTCAGATGAAAAAATTTCAAAGTTAGGGCAGTCAACTAGAAAATTGGCCAGTGCCCTGCCTCTGGAGTCAGATTCTACCCCACCCCAAGACGGGTGTTTAGCGTTAAGATCCCCACCAATGAAAACCTCTCCTTCTGACTGAAGGTTTATCAAAGGCAGAAGATCAGAAACTTGAAACATGGTCATCGGTTTGCAGTAGAGACTCTTACAACACAGGACTCAATTGCCCCTGTAGAGATTGAGATGCGACTGCAACGGAAATTGTCTTTAATCAATATCGCAGTGCCACCTCCGTTACTCCTGTATTGAATAAAGGGGTGTAACCATCAATTTTGAAGTTATGTATAGGTCTTAATGTATGCTCGGCTAATAATAATATTTCAGGACCTCTATCCGTGATAAAGTTTTGCAAAAAATGCCTCCTGGATTTGCTTAAAAGTAGGTCCAAACGTTTTGGCCTTTTCACATTTTGTAATGAAATCTGTACTAAAAAATTGTATTATATTATTATTGTTGGTCTCAGCGGTTTATAACAGACCGAGACGGATTTTCGGTCAGTCTGGAAGTAGAAGGAGGTGATCTGGCATTGCCTCTCAAAGCCCGAGAAAAGGAAATACAAGCTTTAGTCGAGGCCAAACGTTGCGAGCGGGCCTCAGCCTTAGCTTGAACATCTGCGCGGTTTTAGGCTTTTCTGGCAAGTATAGTCGGTCGCCTAGGAGAGACACGGGAGGATGCCGTATGTCCAACAACTCTACAGTTCACACAACTGACAGGCTGTGGAGGCTGTTGACAGACCTTACCTGTGGTAGGATCAATGTTTTCTACCAGTATCTCCTTACCCTTGGATGGAATGGGGCATTTGTAAGAAGGGTGGTTTTCCAAACACATATTGCACCGAGGGGGCATTGTGCAATTATTCGAAATATAACCAGGCCTTTGACAATTGAAGCAAATTATGAAATCACGACCTTTGTCTTTCTTAATTTTGATATCGCAATCCAAGATTCTGTTCAGCTTATATAGACTTGCAATATCAGAAATTTTTGTTACTCTAAGTAACCATTTATTTATGGAAATGCTGCTTAATCATACAATCTCCACTGGGAATAAAACATTATTGCGAAAAAAGTCTTTAACTTCATCACTACTAAATTCTTCAGTTAGGATTTCAATAAACAACATATAGGGCAACAACGACCTCGGCGTATATGTGTGAAATTTATAACCTCGCTCTGTTAACAAGGCCCCAACTTCCTCATATATATTTAAGCCCCTAACCTTATGAGACAGCACAGACGGACGTAAAATCGATATAGAGAACTCACCTGAACGGTATCGTTGGTTGAGGATCCCTGAAATTTCCTTGACACTCACATCATATAGGGAAAACGCCGGCATAGATTTGCCCGTTGACTGCTTGGTGTTCAAAGGAGGCACTTTACCCCCAAGAGCTGCTTCAGCGGCTCCACATGTCGAAATAGATGAATTCTTGGTCTTCTTTGGACAGCCAATATTTTGGGGAACAGTTGTTGTTTTTAGAATTGCATCTTTGTGAACTGCAACGTCTATATTTGCCTTTTCTGGAACAATATCCATCGCCATACCGAGGTCTTCGGCCACCTCGTCAGCCCAATCATCCTTCTTTTGAAAATTGGCTTCTGAATTTGTTGGCATTTCATCAGCCTTGTCGAATATGATGTTTTGATTCGGCGAATTTAATGTGTTTTTATTATGGGTATTGACCATTTGAATATCCAGTTTTCGTCGGAGATGGGCTATGGTACGATGAAAAGCCATTTCCCTTCCATATGCCAAGGAAAGTTTTTGTACAGTTTCTACTTGGTTTTGATGACTTAATCCAGGTTTGCCATAAGAGATCGATTTTCCTCGTGGGCTATTGTCAGATCCTTTTGTAATTGTTGAATCAAAGCATTGAGTTTCACCGATTCAAAATTTGGATCACTGTTGCTGCGCTTCTTCTTACATTTCCGGTATCTATCGGATATCACAACCTGATATCCACCGCTGGTTGTGCCATGTACTTTACTTCAAAGGTTTTCGCAGCACCGACCTTTTGCATGGCAGCCACCAACTTAGTGGATGCATACACCTTTTGTACTGCACTATCGATGTGAGGGACGGTGTTACTCTTCAGCTTAACTGCTCCATCGGCCGACATGGTAATTTTACAAAACCACTAGATGACGAGCCGACGGGCACTCTAGGTTGCATAATGAACACAGGAGTATGATGTCGCCTTTTATAAATCAGCGCCAAAGAGTATGCTTTATTTTTACATTTTTAGCAAAGCCAAAACAAAGCACAGTCAAAATCACTCTTTCACAATTTCTTTCCGATAGAGAGCCGCACTGCACAACACCACAATACAAAATGGATAAAAATTGCCAGACGCAATGTGCTATTTATACTTTTCTCACACACACATTTCTTCAATAATGGGGTGGTTTGGCTTGTGTGTGCCTGCTAGCTGTGACTACCTGAAATTCTTGTCGACTACAATCTACAAATTCTGTATAGCTGGCCGTTTTGGTTATCAAAGAAGGAAGCATCTGCCACCCGCAGCTCTACTAAAATTACGCGACGAAGGATTGCTCTACGATGATGAACGCCTAATGTACTACCATCGTAGGTATCACAGATTTGACGCTGACTCTGAGCCTGTCTACAACACAGCTCAGTAATAATATAATTGTAAATAGATTAGGTTAAGTTTATATAGTTTTAAGGTAGATTTAAGTTTTTATTTTATTTTATTTTTTTTGTATTAGCCTTTTTTTAACTTTTAAGGCATATCTATACCAACGAATGTTGTTAAAACACTAAATTAATTTAATGATTGCTTAGCATAAAAATGCGGCACTAATATAATCTTAATATCGTAGTCTCCTACATTGTAAGCCCTATGGCAAAGGAGAATGTTTACTTACTAACCTATTTTATACTGTAGCCATTAAGTATATAATGTATAATCTGACAATTTAAAACAAATAAATGGCAAATTTAAAAGCAAAAAAAAAGCAAAAACCGTTTTGGTTATCATTTGTGAACAGTGTTAAAAGTGTTTGTGTGATTCAAAAAAAAAAATAATAAGTGAAAATGCCTCCTAAAACCAGTGGTAAAGCAGCAAATAAGGCCGCCAAAGCCCAAAAGAACATTACCAAGGGCGATAAGTCGAAGAGACGTACCAAGCGTAAGGAGAGTTACGCTATCTACATTTGCAAAGTGTTGATGCAAGTCCATCCCGACACCGGTATCTCCTCGAAGGCCATGAGCATCATGAACAGTTTCGTCAACGATATCTTCGAACGTATTGCCGCCGAAGCCTCTCGTTTGGCCCACTACAACAAGCGCTCAACCATCACCAGTCGGGAAATCCAGACCGCCGTCCGTCTATTGTTGCCCGGTGAATTGGCTAAGCCCGCCGTCAGTGAAGGTACCAAGGCTGTTACTAAATACACCAGCTCCAAGTAAATGTCTTGATATTTTTCATTTTGCGTCGAAATACTACCTTAAAAGGCCGTTTTCAGGGCCACAAAAAACATTTCAAAAGAGATCATATTTTTGTTGAAACTACAATTAATCATTATTTAGTAATAAACGAATAAAATTCCATAGGAAACATAATTTTCTCTATACAATGATTTTTCCATGTATTCAGCTAACTCGAATATGTACCTTTGTTTAGCCTTTGCTTGCTTGGGTTCTATGCTTGCTTGTGCGATATGCAATAACAGGCATCGTCGTCGTATATGTGTGCGTGTGTTAGTGGTGATTTGCCTTGCCGTCGTTGATCAATATCGAATGGGCATCATGTATGTGTGAGCATTTTGTTTCAGCACAACGCCAAAGCAACGAAATATACAGCTGAGGCAGACATTTTCAAAAGAAAAAATTTATTGATGGAAAATGTAAATATTTTGCCGAAATGCCATATTTGGATGAAATTTGTGAAATTAGACAGAGAATATAAAAATGGCAAAATTTTCATAATTAAGTAGAAATTATAAAAATTACCAAATTATGGGGATTTTTGAGAATTGTGACCTGTTGTAATTAGGAAAAATTTTAAATATTTTATTATCTTTTATGACCTGGGTTAAAAAATAAACCAGTGGCGTCCATGATTATATTGGCTCAATTAAATTACCTAATAACAACAGTAATTAGCAAAAGTAATTTTTTCCCAAAATCAAACACGTATATAAATTTTTTATTTTAGGTAACAAAAATATACCATAGCTGTTGAAAATAAATATTTGTCTCATTTTTAATTATATTTGTAGCCCTGAAAAGGGCTGTTAGATAGTATGTTTTCGAATATCGAATATATTGTGGAAAAAGTAATCTTTCTGGGAAAAATTACAAATTACATTAAAGCCGCCGCTTTCTTAGCATCTGGCTTCTTTGCTGCTGCGGCCTTTTTGGGGTTAGCAGCTGCAGTTTTTGCCTTGGGTGCCTTTGGTTTAGTGGCAAATGCTTTGGCGGCGGTCTTTGTTGGTTTAGCTTTTACTGTACCGGTTTTCTTGGCAGCCTTTGCCTTTGTTTTGTCGGCCTTCTTCTTTTCAGCGGTCTTCTTGGCGGCAGAGGGTTTTTTTGGCAGCTGACTTCTTCTCACCAGCGGCCTTTTAGGGGCGGCAGCCTTCTTCTTTTTGTCACCAGCGGCTGGGGCCTTCTTCTTCTTTTCAGCAGTCTTGGCTTTGGGTTCCTTGGAGGTCGAAGCAGACAATTTGAATGAACCAGAAGCACCCTTACCTTTAGTTTGGATCAATTTTAGACTGCAACGGCACCTTTCAAGTACTTCTTGATGAAGGGGGCCATTTTTTGGGCATCTACTTTGTAGGTGCTGCCAAGTATTTCTTGATGGCGGGCAATGATGAAGCTCCACGTTCCTTCAGGGTCTTGATGGCGGCATCAGCCATTTGCTGGGTTGGAGGGTGGGTAGGGGCAGCTGATGTTTTCTTTGCTTTGGCAGCGGCTTTTTTCGGTGCCTTTTTCTCAACAGCGGCATCTGGGGAGGCGGTGGCTTCAACAACGGCGGCGTCAGACATGGTTATTCACTGTTTGGTTTATATTTCACTGTTAACACAAATACACTCACAAATTTATGTGTACTATTATTTTTGTTAGCAGCGGCGGTGCTTCAAATGCTTCAAATTTATTTATTCCAAAATCCATAAACAACATTTCAATAACTTACGTCTAACAATAGGTCTTAATATTACTTAGCATATTAGTATTTTTCTGAGTCTATGTCTATTATACATGCATATGTTGTACCAGGTATACAAACATATCCGTAATACTAGTTTTATATCCTTATTCAATATTTCTCCAAAAAAAAGGAATCATAAAAAGGAGTTCATAACATTTTTTTGTTTTTACTTCAAATTAACTTATACTAGAGAAATAAATAATAAATACTTACAAAAGAAAAGAGCGCTTCATCGTTTACTGTTCGGTTTGGTAAACGGTGTTTATAATATGGAAGTTTTGTGATAGAAATGTAGATTATTGTCAATGTAAAGGAGACCTTCTTGGTTCGAAGTGCCAAGGCTACAAGGAGCATGGTAGTTTGATTCCACAAGCTGTTCTATACTACTATTTTTCACTAAACTCTCTCGTATTATATTATTATTCAAACAACGTGCATTTTCTAGGAATTTTAAGGTAGATTTCACTTAAAATACATCTATTCTGTCAAAGGGGGTGTTTCTGTACACTTCACTGTTGTGAGGCTGCATCCATATCCCGTTTTCGTCCATTTGGGGCCTCATACCAAGACAAGATGTTAATTTCATTCTTTCCCACTGTCGAATTCTTTCCACGCAGATGGGAAGTATCCCAAGATAATGCAGTGGTTAAATAATATAGCAATGGTTTGCCATGAAGTACTATCTGTGGATCTTAGTACTATGTTTGGGATACCGTCCGGTCCATTAGACTTTTTATTTGACCTGCATTCGAGTGCCGAGCATATACCTGAAGGAGATATAAAATTGTGCTGGCGCCACAAATTTGGATTATTAGGGGTGCTATTATCAGCAGAAAAGTTAGCTGAAAACTGCACAAGTGGAGAACTGATATCAAAGGCTGAAGTTCCATAATAATTGTCTCTGTCTGGAATGTTATGGGAAACATCAAATTTTTGTGTGGTGACAATGAGGTCATCATTGTCATCGCGCAGGTCGGGGATAATACCGCGCTTTACCCCAGCAGCAGCTTCAACCTTATTATAACCCTATCATTCATTTGGATACTATTTAGAAAACTCGTCCATTGAGTAGTTTCATACTCAGAAATAGCGCCCTGAATAATGGTGTCCAAGTTTCTAATTTGGGCTTTCAAAATATCATATCTGCCCGGATCTCCCGTGCGATATAATATCCCACGTAGTCTTTTTTCTCACTAATAAAATTTAGGATGTTTTGTGGGAGCTTACTTGGGCCTTTTGGTCCAGGTACAATTTTGGGTATAGAACCATCCATTGCTCTTTTGAATGTATCAGTAACAGTGTCTACACATTGGTCTATTTCTATTAGGCTGACATTTCTGTCATTGGGGAGTTGACAGGAGGGTAGTTCCTCGGAAAGAATAGCATTTAGTCTACGTTTATTAAGCCTTCTAAAATCGTAAAAAGTACGGCGATCCCTACGTTCTGGTGTTATTCCGCTGACTTTCATTTCAATGGCTAAATGATCGGAATTGCAGTCCAGATTGTCATCGATTGTGATACCAATAGAGCTCATACAAATATCAATATAAGAGTTGGACCTCGTTTAATCCTTGTTGGTCCATCTGTTGGTGAAACAATCAGATCTGGGCACGATAATAAAAATTCATTTACAATTCTACCCTTGGGGCAAGTAAGATGACCACCCCAGTTAGGATGTCTGGCATTTAGGTCAGCACCTACAATAACATCTCCATTTAAAGAAAGGTGCCGGAGAAACTCTAAGTCCCCACTATCAAGGTCATTTTGTGGTCTAGGATACATTGACACTAGGTACACGTATTTCCCATTATATTATACATTTTGACACAAGTGCTTTCAATAGTACCTGAATTTATTGCTATTTGTTCATATTTACAAAAGTTTTCGGAGAAATTAAATTTTTCTGAAGAAGCTTTGATAATTTTCTCTAAAAATGTTTTATACCTTAAAAGTATAGATTTCAGGCTATGTTTTGAAGAAAAATTGTAATTATCACTTACCGTTTATGAATTATAAACGTTTAACTTGACAGATTATAAAATGTAATCACAAATTTCCAACTAAAATTTAAAAAAATCGAATTTTTTATGAAAAATTAATTGAAAATTCTTTTTGAAAATGTAGCCTGATATGTTTACTTTAGGATCAAAGAAAAATATCGATGAAATTTCATATTTTACTATGTGAAAAAATTGAAATTATTATGTGGTCTATGACAGCAGAAATCCTCTTGTTGGCATAATTTCAATGAAGAAAAGTTTTTCTTGAAATAAATTTGAAAGCTCAAATCTTAAAAAGTTTTATAAAAATTTCTTAAAAAACATTTCAGAATTTGTATATTTACATCAAAATATAACATTATTCACAAAAAGTCATAATTTACGGGGAAAATTTACAAAATCCCCAGAATACTTCATACCACCAATGTACAGGCATTCACTGACAAACGGTTATGCATTTTCATTTTGCAATATTTATTATGAAATTTAACTTAATTTGTTCTAAAATTTTTTTGAAACCAGTCTTAAAAGCCATTTTCTACGTTATTTTGTGAATATTTTTTTAATTTCTTTGAAAAATATTCCCAAAAAGAAATTTCTCTTTACAGCCAAATATCACCTAGAACACTTGGAAATGTCATGAAATTAATTGCGTTTTAAATAATTGTTTTTCGATCAACTTCAAAGGTCATTAGTATTTCATTCTATAATACTTTTAATTATATTTCACATCAAAATTCCCAACAAACCAATTATTTTTTATCGGGCAAAAATAATTTTGTAAATCCATAGGGAGAAAATTCATATTCAAATATCTTAAAATGCGTATAAAACATTTAAAAACTTTGCTGAAAAAGAAAAAAAAAACATATTTCATATACATCATTCCTGAAAAAAATTAAATAAGTGGGGCAACATGTTATCTGGAAATATTTAAAATTCACATGAAATAATTCGTAGAAATTAAAGGCAGAGAATTTTTTCGCGCTAAATTGAATAGTCCACAAAAAAAAAATAAAAAGGAACGAATGGAGAAATAGACAAATTTCGCGCCAAAAATTATGAAAAGAGCACTTTTTGTTAGCAAAATCTATGTGGTGGTTGTTTTTATGAGTCATAGTATATTTTTTAGAAAGGGAGTACAAAAATGATAATAATTTTGCAAATTAAAATAAATTATCAATATGGATAGTTGAATAATTAAAATAAAATTTAAAAATATTAAAATATTCGACCAAAAAAGTCAAAATCAAAAAAAAAAAACTAGTGTCGAATATCAAAAAATATATCTTTATTTTAAAAATTGTTAATAATTGTTGAAAAATAATCAAAGCCCTAAATTCTTTTTACTTATTTCAAAAAATTGCAAAAAATTATAGATTGAGTAAAAAATATCTCTTTTTTGTAAAATATTTGTGGTCCTGAAAAGGACCGATTGTTTTGTTGTAAAATTGTTGCTTTTAAAACGTCAAGAATTTAAAAACGTTCTCCACGAATACATCTGGCCAATTGGATATCCTTAGGCATGATTGTGACACGCTTAGCATGGATGGCGCACAAGTTGGTATCTTCGAAAAGACCAACCAAAGTAGGCTTCGCTGGCTTCTTGCAAGGCCATAACAGCAGAGCTCTGGAAACGCACGTCGGTTTTGAAATCTTGAGCGCTTAACACCGCCGGTGGCTGGGGCACTCTTATGGGCAGCTTTGATAGCTAGTTGTTTTCGGGGAGCCTTTCCATCGGTCGATTTACGGGCAGTTTGCTTAGCACTTTACTAGAGATATGCACACAAACACTGTTAACACGGCAAAAACGTTGCCATCGCCACTAAAGTGAGTATTTATAGAAATTTGTGCTGTTAGCATCAACTTTTGGGGTTGATATGTGAATTCTTACCTATCTGTATACCAAATGTACACGCCCACATAACAGAGAACATACAATACTAATGGCACACATATATAACTGTACATACTTTACTTTTGAGTTCAATAGTTGGAGAGAGCCGTAAATTTTGTATAAATACGAGCGGAATCATCCGGAAAAAACATTACCTAGATGAAGATGGAAGTCAAATAACTTCAAAGACGGTCAAGGCTAATGTCATGGCAAAATCATTCGCTAATATCCAAAGCTCTAATTCATGTAATATAATTACTCCAGATTTAATTGTTTCAAATGAGCCCATGACGCAGTTTGGAATAAATTATATGGCAGATGGAAGAAATCTGAATTCCAACAATAGTCTACCTATAAGACTCACTAATTCAAATGAAATAGGAAATATTTTAAAATACATGAATAATAAAAAGTCGACAGGAGACGACAAGATCTCAAATTACATTTTAAGAAAGCTGGACCATAGGACTTGTATGATAATAGCCATATTGTTTAACCAATGACTAAACATTGGCTATTACCCAAGGAAATGGAAAACTTCAAAGGTTATCCCTATTCTAAAACCAGGAAAAGATCCCACAAAAACTTCAAATTATAGACCCATTTCGCTATTATCCTCCTTAGGTAAATTATTTGAAATAATAATATTAGACGGATTGAATGAACATATCATGCATTGTAATATTCTAAAAGCCAATAAATTTGGCTTTCGAAAGCGATAAAATTATAAATGTGTTAAACAGCAGAAGTGCAACCATTGCAGTTAGCTTAGATTTTAATAAGGCATTTGATACGGTATCCAGAGAGGGCATAACCAAAAAAAATGCAAAATAAGTATAAATTCTGCCCATTGCTTACAAAAATTATCCAAGACTACCTACAAGATAGACAATTTTATGTATGTTTTGAGGGAGCAAAAACTCAATCTGTAAGAAGTGGAGTTCCTCAGGGTTCGGCACTGGGTCCAGTCCTCTATAATTTATACTTGGCTGATATTCCACAACCCCCAAATGATATGCTGCTATTACTCATGCTAGAGCTAGAATAGCCAATAACAAATTAAATTAATATCTTGAAGTACTAAAGCAAAACTTTGATAAATGGAATTTATCAATTAATACTGAGAAAAGTATGGCAATAATATTTAAAGGAAAAGGATGTAATCTCTATAAAAATTCCAGGAGCTACATACAAAAAACCAACATAGGAGGCGAGATGTTGTCCAATACTAAAAAATTAAAGTATCTGGGGGTAATATTTGAAAAAGATATGAGTTACATCATGCATGTAGATTTAGTAATTAAAAAGGTAAGGAAGGCTTATCAAGGCTATTAATGGCTATTAGGCAAAAAAAGAGGATTAAGTACTAAAATTAAACTACTAATGTATAAACAGTTAGTTAGACCAACAATGAGTACGCCTTCCCTGTGTGGGCATTTATATCCTCTCATCAAATGGAGAGGATTAGAATTTTTGAAACAAAAATATTAGCCCACTGCCTTGGTCTGGGCAGACAGCTCTCAGAGCAGCGATATTACAAAAGCCCATCAATTAAATAAAATTATAAATTAAGCAAAATGGATAGATTCGATAGGTTCACTGTAAAAATTGCAATAGAATTTCTAAAAAAAATGCATAAGTCACAGCAATCACTTAGTAACAAATTTAACAATAAGTAACGAAGATTTTATAAGACTTAACGAACGAAGATGCTTAAAACTAAGATAACGAATTTTGTTATCTTAGTTTTAAGCATTCGTATAACTAGTGTTTTCACTAGTTTTTTCACAAGAAAAATAATAAAAGACTACAATTAGAACAAAAGCTTAATATTGCACGAGCTGGCCTTCCACGTAGTTTATTCCATATTTTAATCGAAATTAAAAAATCTAGATAAGTGTGAAAACACGTTAAATATAAAATATATAGAAATACGACTAGAATAAGAAATAAATGCAAATTATTTTTTTTTTTTGAAAATATATAAATCGCTTAAAAAATCCGGAAACAACATTAGTGCTCAAACAGTTCGTGAAGTGATAAGTGAAATTAACTAAAGTGACTGGTCGTAGTAAAGATGGTAAAGGCTTGGGAAAAGGTGGCGCTAAACGTCACAGGAAAGTGCAAGGTATTACCAAGCCAGCTATTAGACGTTTGACTCGTCGTGGCGGTGTAAAACGTATCTCTGGCCTGATTTACGAAGAAACTCGTGGTGTTCTGAAGGTGTTTTTGGAAAACGTTATTCGTGATGCTGTCACCTACACCGAACATGCTAAGCGTAAAACCGTCACCGCTATGGATGGAAAGTCCCACAGGGATCAGAATTGGACCCTGTTCTTTTCAACCTATTCCTCGCTAACATCCCGCAGCCAACTGGAGGGGTCATGGCCTCAATCTTTGCCGATGACATAATTGTAGTTGCAACACATCATAGGGCAAAAACAGCTGAAAAATTAGTAACAAAGTACCTGCAAAATTTGAAGCAATATTTTGATATCTGGAAATTAACCCTTAATATAGACAAGTGCCGTTCAATAATATTCGAGGGAAAGCCAGGATCAGTATGTAGAAATGCAAGAAAATTCATTCCAGCAATTAAAATAGGGAATAGCATTATTCATAATACCGATACAATAAAATACCTTGGAGTAATACTGCAAACAGACATGCAATTTATAAGGCATATCGACTATGTACTTAAAAAAGGCAAGGCCGTATATGGCAAGTTGCGAAATATGATTGGTAAGAGGGATGGTCTCCGCAGAACGTAAAACTAATATTATGCAAACAACTTGTGAGGCCGGCAATGTCATATGCATTTCCCGCTTGGTTCGCAATATCTACCCATCAAATGGAAAGAATTAGGATTCTAGAGAGGAAAATGCTAAAACACTGCCTCGGACTCAGAACAACAACAAATTAATTTGGTAGACTAACAAGCCCTAAAAACTCTTTATTATATGAAGCAAGTAAAATTTACAGGATTGACAAGTATATAGTCAACATAGCACAAAAATACTTGAAGAAATGCACAATCCATAATAAAAAACATATTAAACTGCAGTGTTACAAGCAACGAAAAATCCTGTAAACAATTTTTGGGAAATAAAGATGAAATTGAAATTGATATTCCGGAAAAAACACAGAGACAATCAAAAACTCTAAGTGAAAACATCAAGTGTTAATTAGTGGAAAAAGTGAAAAGGCAATAAATAAAACTTAAGTGAAGTGATAATAAAACAATATTTGATTTCCCTAAAAAAAGCAAAATTATAAAAAGAAAAACTGAAGTGCAGAAATGTCTAGTCATAGCATTGAGAAAAAAAACTGTCGAGACTATTTAAGAAAGTGACGGCTCTATGAGCCAAAATAACCAAAATGAAAATGTGATAAATGAAAGCTACCCTATACCATTTATTAAAATTAAAAGAAAAAGGAAAAATTAAAATAACATTGAAAATATTTAAGATAGTGATGAAGAGAATAAAAAAGATAATGGAACTAAACTTTTGAAAAAGAGCTTGAAAAAGCCAATGAACGTATAAGACAACTTGAATCTCTAATACAACAACTAATTGACAAAAAAGAAGATATTAGTGTGGATTTCCACATACCAAATGAATGGGTAAAACCAACTTATAAAAAAGGAAACCAATTACAAGTTGAAAACACCCCAAATAATGATTGGGCACATGCAGGCTGAAGAAGAAGAAGAAGATATAACCGCAATGCCAATGGTTAGCGACACCAATAAAAATTTTCAAAGGAATCCGGACAACAACCCTGATGGAATTTTCCAGTATAATAACAACACGGATATTACCGCCAGTAGCAGCAACAACAACAAAAACTAAAACGAAGTTAAGGCAAGGCCACCAACCTTTAAAACATATAACATGCATGTAATTTTACCTTAAAACTCAAAGAAATTTTAAAACATAATTTATTCAATATTAATATCATTAATAAAAATTTAATACACTTGAAATTAAGTACAATAGAGGACTATGAAAAAATTAGGAAATATATAGAGAGCCAAAATTCTCAATTTTATACCTACACTCCTCAAAAACAAAAGCCTAAAACACTGTTAGTTAAAGGTGTGTCTGATACATACGATGAAAGTGATCTAAAACAATATATTGAGGAAACTGATCCCAAATTAAAAGTTTATAAAGTTATTAAATTGACAGGTCGTAGATGGCTAGTACAGTTTGCTCGAGATGTAGATGTAAAATCCTTTATAAAATTAAAATATATTCTAAATGTAGGTGTAGAAATAAGTAAATATAAAATGGAAGATCTGCTACAGTGTAGGAGGTGCCAAAGATATGGCCATATATCCACAAACTGTAATATAAATTCCAGATGTGTGAAATTTGGTGAATGTCATGGCCCATGAAAATGCACTATACCCCCTAAGGAATTAAACACTGAAGAATTTATAACAACCAACCCCAAAACAGGTCAAATTATAAAGACAATAGGCAAACCAGTGAAATGCTGTAACTCTAACACAATAGGTAACGTAGCCAGCTATAAAAACTGTCCAAAAAAGCTAGAAATTCTCGAAAAAATGGCACAAAATAGGCTTAATAATACAAAAATTCCAATTGAAAACAATCTAGAAAATATCAAAACATCTAAAGTAGAACCAGGCGTTACATATGCAAAGGCTACAAAAAAAAATAGCCAAAATTCTTCAAATTTTCCTTCCAATAAACAAAAGATTATCGAACCTGCCAGCAGTTTAGATCAGCAAATAAAGCAGTCAATGAGTGCCTTTGACTCTTACTGTAAAAAATTCTTTGGAAAAGACTTTTATACCTGCATAAAAATAGTTGGAGAATTTGCTTCAAACTATAAACAATTAAAAACAGAAAAAGAACAAGTAAGAAGGCAGTAAGTTCGGCCGGGCCGAACTTTGAATACCCACCACCATTTGGAACATATTAGAAATTTTTCAAAAAAATAAAATCCATTAAAAATTCTTTAAAATATCTAATATAGGAAGGTGAAGATATACGGGGGGACATACGATATTGTGGACCTATAAAGACAAATCTATATCTGCGTGTAAAGTACTCACAAGGAACTCCTTGTGTGGATTTTCAGATAATTCCATTGGAAAAAGTGGCTAAAATCATCAAAATACCGAATATAGGGGAGTACCGTTATATGGGGGATATACGATATTGTGGACCTATATAGACAATTCCGTTCCAGGGGTAAAGTGCTCACAAAGAACGCCGTGTGTGGATTTTCAGACAATACTATTGGAAAATGTGGCTTAATTACCGAATATCGGGGGTACCGTTATATGAGGGCTATACGATATCGTGGACCTATATAGACAATTCTTTTTGAGGGTGTAAAATTTCTTTATTAAGTTCATTTGGGAAACTATTTGAAAATTTTATGCTAGAAAAAATTAATATACACATAGTTAATAAGAACATACTCAAAGATTTCCAATACGGGTTTAAAAAACAAACGTTTTCTACTCATGCACTAATGACGTTAACTAATAAAATTTCCAATGGGCTAAATAAAAGAAAAGCCACCATAGCAGTTAGCCTTGAACTAAGCAAGGCGTTTGACACTGTTTGGCAAGAAGGAATAGTGTACAAAATGCATATGAAATATGAATTTAATAAGGAATCGACAAGAATGATTAAAAACTACCTTCATAATAGGTCGTGTTTTGTGACACTTGATGACCACTACTCAAATATTCATACAATAAAGGACGGGGTCCCACAAGGCTCCGTCTTGGGACCTGTTCTCTATAATCTATTTATAGCAATCTATTTCTGTCAATTTTCGCAGATGATATAATGATCGCATACACACATCATCGGGCAAAAACGCCACAAATAAAATTAAATAACTACCTGCGTAAATTGACAGAATTCTTCAACAAATGGAAATTAAAACTAAGTGTAGACCAGGATCTGTCTGCCGAAATGCACGCAAATTCATACCTTCATTTAAAATTGAAAACACAATACTAGACAACACCATTATTATTAAATACCTGGGAGTCGTATTGTAATCCGATGATGTAAACCACGTCCTACAAAAAGGAACATATATATATGGTAGCCTACGCAGAACAATAGGAAAAAGAGGCGGTCTCAGCCTAAAAGTCAAACTCCTCATTTATAAACAGTTTGTAAGACCAGCTATATCATACGCCTTTCGAATATGGTTCTCCATTTCCTCAGCACAAATGGAAAGAATACGAATATTGGAGAGGAAAATGATTAAACACTGCCTGGGTCTGAAAACGTTCTTAAATGAAGAAGGTCGCTTAACACAACCAAATTTTCGTAAATTACAGCAACATAACAAGAATAGATAAATATATGACCAATATTGACCTATGTGCCTACTCACGCTACACCAAAGTTATCAATTATTGGAATAATTGATGAAAATAAACTAATGTTCTACCATAGAAGTTATAAAACATAATTTTGATAATACAGTATATATTACTAAACAATAAGAAAATACCAATGTATTAAATACCATATGAATTACTATATACTTTTATTTGTTTTATTTATTTATTTTATTGTTATTGTTTTTTTAGTTTTAGGAGCACTGCCCATTAGATATAAGTAGTATAAGAAAACAAAAGAACCTCGTTTTTTCATCCCTTTTTTCCGAGGAAATCCACAATAACTACTTCATCATAATCATTATTCAATATAGTAACAGTTAAATATCTAGAAAACATTATATGTGCTAGAGTAGTTTTAAGATAATAGTCTGTAAGGAATTACTAAACTCTGTACGAAATTGAACATGGGAAATAAAAATGAAATGAAAAATCCGGAAAAAACATTAGTGCTTAAACATTTCGTGAAGTGATATGTGAAATAAACTAAAGTGAAAAAATGACTGGTCGTGGTAAAGGTGGTAAAAGCTTGGGAAAAGGTGGCGCTAAACGTCACAGGAAAGTGCTCCGTGATAACATCCAAGGTATTACCAAGCCAGCTATTAGACGTTTGGCTCGTCGTGGCGGTGTAAAACGTATCTCTGGCCTGATTTACGAAGAAACTCGTGGTGTTCTGAAGGTGTTTTTGGAAAACGTTATTCGTGATGCTGTCACCTACACCGAACATGCTAAGCGTAAAACCGTCACCGCTATGGATGTCGTATATGCTTTGAAGAGACAAGGCCGTACCTTGTACGGTTTCGGCGGTTAAACAAATTCTTGACGCAATTTGGAGAAATCTTTTTTTTATAACAAAACAATCGGTCCTTTCCAGGACCACAAAATATATCAAAAAAGAGATACTTTCTTGTTGAAAACTATTTTTTTTAAATTAAAACAAAGAAAACGAGTAAAAAAGCAGTAAGTTCGGCTGGGCCGAACTTTGAATACCCTCCACCATTTAGAA